ACTATATTCACATTTTTTTAACATCTTGTTGCAACATTTTACAAAAATCAAGATTTAATATTTTTAGTCAAAACCCCATGTTATAAAAGATGAAGTGCTATGCAGTGCTATGTCTATTTAAGACGATATTGGCTGATTAGATGGCAATGCTGGCCTAAAATGCAAAAATGTTTGCCCTCTCTCTTCACCGTTCCCACATCTCAGACCCTAATACATAAAATAGACATAGTTTTTGAAGTAAAGTTTTGAAGTAAAGAGTACTATACTAACTGAATTAGGTACTCGGTATCAGCAAGTACCAAAAATAGAAGTATCGGTATCGGGCGAGTACTGGAAAAAGTGGTATCGGTGCATCCCTAAAATTAAGATTTTAAATAATCTGAAAGCTGAATAAATAAGCTTTCCATTGATGCACAGTATGGTTTGTTAGGACAATATTTGGCTGAGATACAACTTTTTGAAAATCTTGAATCTGAGGATTTAAAAAAATCCAAATATTGAGAAAATCGCCTTTAAAGTTGCCCAAATTAAGTTCTTCTTAGCAATGCATATTACTAATCAAAAATTAAGTTTTGATAGATTTACAGTGGGAAATTTACAAAATATCTTCATGGAACATGATCTTTACTTAATATCCTAATGATTTTTGGCATAAAAGAAAAATCGATAATTTTGACCCATACAATGTTGGCTATTGCTACAAATATACCCGTGCTACCTATGGTTTTGTGGTCCAGGGTCACACACAGACATATGGTGTGATGCCACTGATGAAGAGCCTGGAGAAGAGAAGTGTGAAAGCATTGATGCTCTGAGGCCCTCTGACAGCCAAAGCTGCCGACCTCACCACAACTGGACACAACTGATGGCGATTAAAAAGTATTTTTTTAAATTATAATATTTAATAATTTATAATAATTAATTTAATAAAAATAAAAAAATCCTATTTACTGCTGTAAAATAATCCAATAAAAGCGTTTATACACAATTGAGAGGAACATTTTATAACCTCATGTCTGCATGCAATGGTGTGCTGATAGAAAATGGGGCATAAGGGCAACAACCTTCAGCTTTCGTTTTATTATGTTAATTATTCCCTACTAAGATCAAAAGCAGTGGTCTTGATTGATAACGGCCTCAATCCAGATGATGTAAAAAGCTGTTAAGAAAATACAATCAGCGGCAAGACCTCAGCGAAATGAATTGCTTGAAAGTAACTTATGTCACCTTCATCAACTTTTCCTATAAGGCTACGATGAAAAGCTTTTCTCAAAGCTGCCTTAACTAGTCGAGTCAAACTATACATGTGAAACCGCTCTGCATTATGCCATATACATCTGCCTCTCTTCTCAGGGTTGTTGAATGTCAGGGTAATTCAGCATACCACTGTAGGTTGACATGAAAGTTGCTGCCTCTATAATAAGGACACATGAGATTTGACTGCCATGCATAAACCATTGCTGTTTACTTTGAATATTCATACCTCTGTGAAATGTATTAATACATCCCTCTCCTGTTAATTGTCAGTCTAACGCTCTCTGTCATTTAAAACGGGCTCTAATTTCTGAATTAATAAGCGAGAAAAGAAAAGTTAGTGCAAGAAAAGAAAATGTTTTCTTGGTTTTGTTGAACAACAGTCTGTCAACGAATAAATATTTCTCCATCTATGCTTCTGCTTGGGTCTAAATAATGCAGACAGTGAGAAAACCATTCTGGAATATTCTAGAGGACAAATCCATCAACATTTACCCAGCAGATGCATCTGTCAACAGGACCTGCGGCTAAAACAAAACAGGCCAATATGATTCAACGTTCTTATTGGCTGAGAAATATCTGTTTGCGAGTACCAGGATGGAAAGGCGGCGGAAGTAATGATTAACATTTATTTTCCTTTCATGTCAGAAGATGGTGTTCTGGGAATAGGGGTTATACTGGAACCTGCGTCATACTGCGTATTTATTTTTACCTATAAAAAGGCCTCTCTCTGAGGTGGATTCACTTTTGATTACAGGTGTTGAAATCCGCTCGTTTTCCAGCCAAAAATGAGGAACCTCTCCAATTCCCCAACCCTTCAATCTTGAGCAGATCTCTCCCTCTTAAATAGGACAAGAGCACGGTGGAGATAGTCTGAGAGAGTCTTTCTATGGTTGAGCTATGCAACCGTTCTTATTTTGATTTATTGCGCCGTCTCAGTTCGGTGGCAAAAAGTTCCCACCTTATCGTCCAATCAGAAGTCAGCGGTAGCATATTTTAGCTATGCTGTGTGACCCCGCTCTCAGTCTCTCTCTATCTACTCCTCCTATATCTTTCTCACCCTCTTTCGCACTCACTTTATCTTTCGTCTTCTCTCTCATTGTTCCTTCGTTTGTGTGTGTGTTAATGTGCACGCGTGTGTGTTTTGGCAGCAAGCAGAGCTGCATAATCGAGTGGCGGTTGGTGACTGATGAAGGCAGCATCAGACTTGCCTCTTTGACAGTCAGATTACTTAACGGCACAGGGGGTTGTTTAAAATGGGCAGCCCCCCTGCCTCTGTGCCAAACACAGGCCCAACTTTAGGGACAGGTGTGGGATCATTAGCACCATGGCCTGCAGTCAGTCAACAAACAAAGCAAGAATGTCAACAAAGAAACTCCCTTCACAGTTTTAAGCCCAGTCACTTGTCATTTGGATGAAACAGTATTATTCCATCTTTCTTCCACAGAAGTTAGTATAATGAATTCTTCCTACTATCTTTAAGGGATAGGTTATGCAAAATTTGAAATTTCAATCTTTTGGAACCAGTGTGACTTCCTTTTCTATGTGGAACACACAAAATGAGATGTTTAGCAGAGTGTCCAGGCTGCTCTTTTCCACACAATAAAAGTGAACAGTCAAGCATAATCAATAACAACCCAAATTTTAGTTTGTTTCTCATAAAAAGCTATCAAAAATCTTTGGGATACAGTGAATGAGTCATGGGGACTGCTTTAATGATACTTTGTTGTGCTTGACAGCTCTTGGTCCCCATTTTAGTTTCATTTTATGGAAGAAAGCAGGGTTAACATTCTGCTAAACATTTACTTTTGTGTTCAAAAGATGAAACACAGTCAAACGGGTTGTGGAACAACACAAATTTGATTAGATGAAAAACTGAAACAAACAACATTAGAAAATGAAATTTAAAGGAAACCTAAAATTAAATTTATAATTAAAATAGAAATGCTTACAAAATAAAGTTAAAGTCCCCCTGTGGTAAAAATCAGGTTTTTTATGTTGTTTTTTTGTCTATGTGGTGTTTTTAATATGCTTTTAGACAAACCATGTGCCAATCCATTTATCAACACCATTGCTGAGTATTTTCTCCTTAAAACTGTAGTTTCCCAAAGGCAGTCACAGAAATGTGGTTTGAAACAGCCTTTTTTTTTTTTGCTACGTCACTAAATTCAATAACGTCAAGAAATCCTATCCTTAGCATATCATTAACTGTGGGTTAATCCGGTAACAGTTATATTTTTTCTGTAGATGTTTCTCTAACTGTTAATATTTCCCCCTATTTTCACGATGTCATGTGCTGTTAGCGCTTATTTATTTGTATTTAGAATCGCTAACTTGAATAATAACCCGCGGCAGCAGTGTAAAAGTAGCCCGGAGTCAGACGCACCTCTCCCGCATTGACATCCGCACGTCACATGCGTATGATCGCGGGCGCGATTTGGAATCACAAACTTGGCTGCATTTGAGTCTTCAAGGCATTTTGAGGACACAACATCGTCAAGTAAGTAACTTTAATGAATGTTAAATCATATACACCTAGGATGCCTTAAGGGTGAGTAATTCATGGGCTAATTTTCATTTTTGGGTGAACTAACCCTTTAATGGTAAACATGCCAAAACAGGAAGTGCAGATGTATTTTTTCAACACTTTAGTGTATTGCAAATAACTAAAAAAAAATAAAAATAACATTGCTTCTTTAAAAGCATTGTTTGCTGTGGTTGAGGAGCAGCAAACCGCAAAACTCGAATTGAGCTGTCAGCTGAATTGCCGCATGGGTAAGTGGGCCCAACTGTGGGGTGGCATCTCTGCACTGGGGAGAACAGCTCACTGCACTATCGCAGTCACAGAAATCCTTCACGTCTCGCTTGGTCGCCTCGTACATGTCGCCCGGGCCCTGCCCTATCCCACAGGAACCAGGCTGAAACACTCAATGTGCTGGACTGGAAATGCCATCTAGAAATATGTTCCAAATTGAGTTAGAAAAAAAGATGTCTCACCCTCAACATTTGACCTGAAACAGCACCTGGACTGCAGAATCAAACTCATATGAACAACAAACCACATTTGAAAGTAAATATTTAGTCACATACAGTAAGGGTAGAAGAGCTCGAAATGGAATGCTAAAGCCTGTTCTGTAGAGTAAGATAAGAAGAAGATTACAGCTGTGAGCCTCTGGAAAGCATCCATAGTCTCTCACACATGAAACCAAATGAGGTTTGAAAACCGGCACTAACAGACATTAGTCCACCTCTTGGATTTAGCCCGGTAAATTTGGATTTCGGAAATGCCACATATAAAAGGTGCTTGTCTCAGAAACAGAAGCTCACATGCTTGGAAATAAATAAAAAGGCATGAAAGAAAACAAGAATGAGCCAGCATGGATAAAAACAGTGAAGGAGCAACAACCCATGTAAACATAAGAGAAGCAGAAGAAATAAGAGACGATCTTCAGTCCTGTTGACCCTTGAAGGCATGTCCACCAGAATAAAAGCAAAAACATCAATGCAATTTGTGTTCTCCGTTCTCATTGGCTAATTCTATCCCTCATGGCCCAGCTTGCTGCGTGGGAGGCCAAATCTCAGCATACAAGCACCAATCGAGTTAACAACTAAACATCACCTCATTAGCATGTTATCAATGAAGTGTTATTCATGTAAGCACATTGTCGACTCTTAAAGCTATTAGAGAGACTTCAAAAAAGCGGCACTTAAAACAGCGAGCAGATTAAAATGAGAAGGACACTTACTGAGTCTCTTGGCAGCCTCCAGGGCTTCAGAGGCAGAGTCAGCCACAAAGAAGCGCTGGACTGTCACGCCGTTGTCCTGCATCAGCTTCTTGCTCTGGTACTCCTGCAGGTTCAGCCATCTTCTGGGACTTACCCTCGCTAACTAAAAACACAAAGACATAAACAATATGGTTTACTTAATAAAATATTGCATAACGGTGTATATTTGTCAATTTGTCAACCGGTAAAGATTTTGGACTATCGTCTTTATATTGTCGTTATCGTCGTTACACGCTCACATAACGTTGCTGTGCTACGTGGTCATGAAAACATATCTTTTGCACACGTTTTTAAGCATCGCGGTTTAAAAACAAGTGATTTTAAGCCACTGAAACACAATCAGCAGCGAAAGAGATCTTGTTTCGTTATATGCCCATGCACATGAAGACAGTGCTCATATAGCGCATATATAGATCAAATATCATTATGTATGTGACAGTTCAGAGACTACACTACATTTCAATTGCCACATTGACGCATCTCTACTGTCACGACACGTGTGTTATGCCGTCATACTGTTCTGTCCTACCTACCATGAATACACAATGAGTTGGATTCATTTTTTCAGGCAGCTCTTTGTTGTCATTTCACAACAGACATCAACTGCAATAAAGCAGTTTCAAGACCATTCAGGTCTTGCCTTGCATTCAGGCTCAGATTCTAATCGTTGCAGCTCGGCACTAGGTTAATATTCACATACATTCATGATCACGTCCTTTGATGAGCATTGAATGTGATAGTTAACAACCCATAAGACACTCATTAAATAGACAATTTCCCATTATTCACCACTATAGAATGAGAGTGAAACAGGTTATCAGAGCAGCACAGTGCTAAATGAAGTTAAGCACCTTATTAAGTCATGCTTTTGAACAACTCTCTATGGCTTCTGCTAATTGAGCGTCTACGTGTCTCCATGGAGAATAATGAGTGTGACTACCAAAGTTGGCAGGCTGTGGAAGAGCACTGTGGAAGTGTATACTCAGAAGTGCATACTACCGAAGTGCACACATTATGAGGCGCATTTGATGCAGAACTGAAGTGCCCAGTATAGTGACAAACTATGAAATACATATATACATAAAAAAGGGAATTCCACAAAACTCTTTACTCAGAAATGCACTCGATTACAGGTTACAATATCTGTACACTGTAGAAGTATACACTCAAAATGCAATACTACAGAAGCACACATGTAGATGTGTATATTATGGGGACGTACTATAGAACTTGTCTTAAATGTTTCACCTGAAGTGGAACTGAAGACCCAAAAAGTTCACAGTGCCAAAATATTCACCCAAAAGTAGTGCTGGGCGGTATACCGGTTCATACCGAATACCGGTTTTTATTTTTGTTATGATATGAATTTTGAAAATACCGCAATACCGGTATATGTCACTTAAACAACGTTCGGAACGCAACACTGTTTGAAAGGGGTGTTGCACTTTGGTGAGGGAACAGCTGTATGTGTTACTTCAGATGCAGGCAGTGCGCTGCATGAGACAAAAAAGTATTATAGCCGCTCTTTAGTGTAGATGCATGTTGAGATGCATGAATGAGAGTGACTCCTGGTTAACATGTATTAAAAGGGGTCGTGTTTAGTCACTATTTAGTGTGGTATTTTTTGACAATATTCACTCATCGTGACAGTAAAATAGGGCATTCTAAGTCAATATACTGCAGTATTTCCTCTCTCAATCAGTAGAAAATATGGTTAACACCCGGTCATGCATGAAAAAAAAATACCGTCTTGTACCGTGAAACCTGTATAATTTTGAAAAATACCGTGATATAAATTTTTGGTCATACCGCCCAGCACTACTCAAGTGCACACAGTTGTAGTGTACACTTTTAGCAGTGCATTCTACAAACTTCTACATTCAGAATTGCCAGCATGGAAAAGTACAAGTCCACAGGAGGCGCTTAAGAGCACACTTTTGAGTCTACAGAATCTTGTGGATTTCACAAATGTGTGTGAGCAAAGAGCCTAAGACCTCAAGTCCACATAAAGTGCGCCATTTGGAACAGAACCAGAGAGCCAGAAACAGAAAGTACAACAAAGAAAAGTTTGTATGTCTCCAATCCTCTCACTAACTTAATCATTTGCTCTTTGATAAGATGATGATGCACTACTCTCATTCTCGGCAATGTTCTTCTCAACGCCTGCATTTCATCATTTCACTACTATACACCACAGTGTGCTTTGACTGTGCTTGACTACAGAGAACTAAATAAAATATGATTCATCATATCATTGAATTTGGTGCTCACAGCACATTTCTCATAAGAGAAAACAGATCACGAAAAGATTCGGTTGGTAAATTTAGCCAAAACTTTAATATTGCAATAACAATTTCCTGACATTGTATGCATTGTGCAATAAATGTTCACTTTCTCACTAAGCTCAGAATATGACATCTGTAATAGACTTCGGGTTATAAGGATAATGTGGAACCAATTTCCAACCAATCACTTCGGTCTAGAAATGTGTACACTCAGAATTGCCTAGCTTGGAAAAGTACAGTCCATGTGGCCTTTGCTCACTCAAGTCCATGAAGTCCACGGGTGACACTTAAGAGCACACTTTTGAGTCTAAAAAGACAATTTGGACACTCCATCATCTTGTGGATTTAATAAATGTGTGAGCACGGTGATCACGGTTATCAGTATTATCACGGTATTGTTAAAATGTGCTGGAGATGTTAAAAAAGTACCGACACATAAATCACTTCACCAAGTTTTATATTTAAAAATCAACAAACAACAAATAAAATGACTTTTTGTTTGCATAATCACTAAAACAATAACATTACCAATGATGTTCGGATTTTAAATGACAACTTGACTGACAACAGTTTAATAGCATGTTGAAATATCTAATGTAGATGTTCAAATAAAGCTTTGAAAAAGTTTAATAAAAAGGTAAACCTCACATTTCAGCCTTTAAATAAAAAAAAGATACAAGTCAAAATGATAACTGATTAATAAATGATTATATGTATTTTATCTGCTCCATAAATAATTCTAGATAACTTATCTGAATTGTTTAAATGTGTAGAATCCACATAAGCTTGTTTTTCATGAACCGGTCAAAATTTACAGCAGGGCATGCAAATTAGGTCCGTTTTTGTCCAGACAGAAACTGCACACAGACTGAATGTAAATATAAGTCTCTGTAAATCCACTCGCTGACAGCAGGTGGCGCTTATGGAAAAACTGAATTAGAGCTGTTTCCCGTAACCTCCGTGGACAAAACAGTATTGCGATTAAGAACACTTATTTTAGGTATTACATGGAGCTATATCTATCTATCTATCTATCTATCTATCCACAAACATACACACATACATACATGCATAATATTTAAATTAGATATAATATATAATAAATAATTATATATAAATATGATATATGAAAATAAATAGGCTACAGTTACACATAATTATTGCATATACGTATTTTTTATATACATTTTGGCATACACATTTTTTTTTTTTTTTTTACATATTTATATTTCACATATTTATATTTAACTTAACATAATATAAAATGTAAATTAACTAATAACTAATAATCATTTAATTTAAATATTTAATCACTGACTAATTATTGTTGATCTTGGTTGACACTTTATTACATCACACGTATGTGATTTGTGGACCACAAAACCAGTCATAAGTAGGGATGTAACGATTAACTGCGAGCCGGTTGGAAATCGATTTAAATATGTGACGATTCAAATCGGTTGAGATGCTAAACCAATCGCGATTGGACACATTTAATTTATAATTTGTCTTAAATCTCATTTTGTTAAAAAACAATCGTGAATCGAATCGAATCGTGAAATCAAAATCGTGAATCGAATCGAATCGTGAGTTGAGTGAATCGTTACATCCCTAGTCATAAGGGTCAATTTTTTTGAAATTTAGATTTTGAAAAATCAATAATTTTGACCCATACAATGTATTTTTGGCTATTGCTACAAATATACCCCAGCGACTTAAGGTCCAGGGTCACATATAGCATATAATTTAAATATATTAATATTAACAATGAAAAACAATTATTGAATTTATTATTTAAAACAATGATCTAGTGTACATCAGTATGCTTAGGTGCTATATCTATAAATATACAATGTATCAACAATCACCATAGCACCTAAGAGTACACAATACCATTGTAAGCTATTAAACACAGAAAGGTATTATTTTCATGGTTAGCATCTGCTGAGCCCTCTGAGGGTCATTCCTAATGGCCGTGGTGTAGCATTCAATGTATATTTTTACCTCTGTATGGGGGTGTATACTGTCATATTTAATACTGGAAACAGCTCCCTGTTGTACAAGCTAGCTGTTATCATCATAGCTACTTATGAAAGGTTCAGCGGAAGGACACTGGCTAATAAAGCGGCCTCACACATCAAACTAAGCATACCATGTGTTTTAGTACTTTTTTTTATTTGTCACATTTATGACAAAAACACAAAGTTGCCGATAACCATAAAAGTTTCTGATTCTCTGCATAGCATATACAACATGTGTGCACGGACAGACTCCAGAGCAACATTTACCTTCATTCAGCCACACAGCTGAAGGTTTTTATTTAGATTTCACATATGAGGGTTTATTTTCTGACTGTCTTGGGCACAATGGGCTTACGGTTCACAGCTTTTTATTAATTCATATGGGAAATAAGTGCAGTTTTCTCAACAGATTATGCTTCAGTGCATCAGCAATAAACATAAAGTGTGCTTTACATGAATAAACTTCCCAAAACAAATATTAATAAAGAGATATGCGAGATGAAGAGCGAGACAATCCTAGAAGGGTGGATTGTTCTTTCAGGAGAAAAGGAAAACATGTGAGGGGAGACACAAATAACTTGTGGTGAACAAAAGTAAAACTGAATCAACGATACTATACCTTCAATTAAAAAGTGTTTGTTAATTGATTCCGAAGCACGTAACCTTTTAGCATTATGCTAAGCTAATAAACCAAGCTGTTTCCCGCCTCGTGTCGTGCGTGTTTTGCGTTCACGAATCAGTCTGAATGAACAATATAACGGTGTTAGTGGGAAGACTAATTTAAGTAAGTAAACAAC